GATCTAATTTTCATTGCCCAAAAATAGTACAATAGGGCTTGAAAAATATGTGCTGATTTGCCTGGGTGCTAAAGCATCACCAATAATTTTGATTAATGTGTCTTGACACTGAATGCATTAGCCATACAGTATTCTTCTTGCTTAAAGGCTAATTAGAATTCAAGTCAGCATGATACCTGCTTCTGAGGATTACAGCAAGAACATTTGTTGTAATAAGAACGTCCAGGCAGCTAGTTTTTGTAATGATTGATTTGTAAAATTATTGAGGGGAGAAAAAAAAGAATGAGAAAGTAGTCTGTCCCAAAAACACTATTTCCCTTAAGGATAAAATTTGAGTATAAATTAAAACATCTTGGTGATATGATGAAAATGAACTGCAATAGCAGGTTTATTTAAAACGCAGAAACATACCTTTCTGCTTTTTTTTTTCTTAACAGGATTACATCATGAAAACACATTCAGTATATTTATTGGAGGTTTCATTATGGCTGCTAAAAAATCTCTGATTTCTGGTTGCATGAGTTTCCTAATTGGATTCTTAAACTACTCAGCTGCTCAGACACACTCTGTGCAGGAAGGAAATAATTATAAGTAACAATAACACAATCTTATCCTTTTAACCAGTATTTCTTCCTTTTCTTTTTTCTTTTAGGAATACATTTCACGTTCTGTGTTACTTCCAAAAACTTTCCCCTCTCGCTTTTAAAATGTGACTTGATGTTTCTGAGTTAGGAACCTCATCTCCAGTGGATTTAGATGGTAAATTTCTATTAGATAATTGAACACTGTAATTAATCCTAAGAATGCCAACATAAATGTTCTTGCCACCTGTAAAGCTTAGCCTTTATATGATTTGGTGGCAACGATGATTTCATATAATGAGGTATAAAGAACTAGTTACTATCTCATACCCTTCCAATCCTCAAATTCTTAATCTGAATGTCAAATTTTCACTAATGTGGAAGCCAGAAGAAAACTATCAAGCTTGAGGGAAAATACTTAAAAATTTTTTTGCCGCCTAAAAGCTTTTTTTCATTTGATGTAATTTTTACTGTATTATGTTTCCCTACGCTATTAATTTTACTGTGTTATACAAATTTTTTCCAATTTACTTTCTGAATATAATGAGATAAACTGGTGGTCTCTGTTGAAAGGAGAAAAGCACTCATTGAAAATCCATATTTGTAAAAAATGTCTTGGTCCAGGTAACACTATGACTGGGGCCTAGAAAATTTTTCTCATTACATGTCCAGTTTCTCTTGTGAACAGTGTAGGAAGGAGAATTTTGACAGTACCATGTCTTATGCCCAGATGGTTCCTTCATCCTTTGCTCCTGGAATATATCTGAGTTATAGGAAAAGGGGAATAGTGTGATGTTCAAGAAAAAGTAGGTTTCTTACTACTCTTAAAGGTAACATTCATCCATCACAGCAAAGGAGTTTTCAGAATTTACCTCTTTTAACCTATAGAATGTAAATGGCTTTACGTTCTCCAGGTTAAAATTATTCACATGAGGAAAGACTATATTGAACATGTACATAACCAATGTTTCCAATATTCTGAGCTGCTCTAAGAGAAAGAAAGAGTAATAGTTAAAATTTATATAGGATTAACTATATGCTTGGCAATATTTTAGGAGCTGCACATATATTAATTCACTTAATATACACAACTCTCTGAGTTATGTACAGTGATGATTCTCATTTTATAAGGAAACCAGAGGACAGGGAGATGATTGTAACTTGCCCAATGTCATGATACAGCTTCATTACTGGTGAGGGGTTAAACTAGGACCCGCACACCGGTGGTCTGGTTCTAAAGTCAGGTCTCTTGATCACTGCTCTATACTGCTTCATTACTAGGGTAATGTAATCATAAAAGGGGTAAGTAACATATTTACATTTTTCAAAATAAGTGTGGAGAGAAAAAAATTTTTTAAATAGGAACTTCAGATCTTACCCTTTTATGTGATATCAGGAAAGTTAGTTACAGTAAGTTTTACCCATGAAAAACATGTATGAAGCCTTGTTTATAAAAATCATTTTCTGAGCTTATTCCAGAAGATCAATGTCTGCATGGTACATTGTACATAATTTAATTTTCCCAGTTGAACATCTTGACACTATATGAACCATGAATGCATGAAATAGGAATTCCAAATGTCTTCCACATGGTGAGAGAACTTTCCAATACTTGTGCAGGAAGCTTAAGAGTAGTTTGAAGTTAAGGTATGCCTGTTCTTGGTGACTTTTATTATGTATGCCCAAGGTATCAGCACTTTTCTCTGAGTGGGACTCTGAGGTGATAGATAGATGAGTCTGCTGTCTGTATTTAGGCACTTTGCTCATTTCCTAAGAGCTGTGTGGAAGGCATTTGGGTGCTCATTAAGTTCCCCACCATTCCCTGAGAGCAACAGGTGGCGAATCAAAGCTTCCCTGGTATGTCATGGCTGGTTTCCTCAATGTCTTGTAAAATAACGGATGGCATTTGCATGCTCTCTGTAGTACCAGCAGAGAAGAAGGGGATGAATAGCAACAGGAAGTATTTCCAAAGCATGAACTATCACACAAGTTCTTGCTACCACACGTTCTAAATCCATACATGTGGTTTCATCTTTTAAATATTGTTACTCATTCAAACTATGAAATCATGATTAACTATCCTGTGGCTAGCAACTGAGTAGAAGCAAGGTATATTGAAAGAATAAAGAACAGCTCAAGTTAATGAAGCTATATCATAAGATTATAAACTTGTAACTCTACATTTATAAATATCCAATGTCTGCTAATGACTATGTGTTCTGAAATAGTCTCCTTCACAAGATGACTTCTGTATTTTGAGCACCTACTACATTATAAAGAACATTGCTCATATCCTGAACTAGAGCGAGAAGACAAAGCTAATTAAACCAAAAACAGAATCTGTGATTTAAATACTGGGTAATTCCCCAACAGCACTTGCTAATTGCATAGAAAAGGATCTCTAGTGAAAGATAAAAGGTTTTGTCAATTGATAGCTTCTTATCACAACAATCACAGTCGAGGTTTAAAAAACAAAGGAAAATATCAGCCATATGACCTTGACAAAATACATCTGGCAATGTCCTAGGACGCTTGAAATAAAAGCGTTTACTGGAGGTGACAAATCACCAACACTCTTCCCAATTTGAAAAAGTTCAAAATAGGTCATAAAGTTCAAAAGGTCACATATGACTAGGGAAAGGCCATGGGATATTTTTCGTGGTGGAAGACATAAAATGAATAAGAGGTAATGAGAGGAATTCAAATTGGTTTTTGTTTGGTTTCGGAGGGAAAAACCCCAACACCTTCACCCTTACATAATCTTTCTCACCAAGATGGTGCCTCATACTCAGAAGGGACAAGCGTATTTCAATGCAGCGCTGAAGTACCTGCACACACTAGCCGGGCACTGGAAGTACAGCCCTGCTAACTTAGGAGTAAGTGCTGCAGGAAACCCTCCCCCAGCCCTTCCCAAATGTCCCTCCTTTCGATGCCTTCCCCCTTATTTATAATGCTGTTAACAATGTTCTTTTTAACTCATGTTGAGTATAATTTTCTTAAATTTGTTTTAAACATCTATGATCTCCCAATCATTTGTAAAAGGCTCTTTTTTTAATGTGTGGGAATTACTAAGGAACTGCCATAAATTAACTCTACAATATGAAATCACATATTTAATTATTATGCTAAATATCAAGTGATAAGGAAAAGACTTTGGCCCTTTAGTAAGCTTTCTCATACAGTGTACTTTTTCACTGAGGAAGCCAAAGACAAAATATATTAAAAGGACATATCTAAATGTCCATGATACTAATCGGGAAACATCAAACAAGCAGAAATTTCTGACTGCTAGCCTGAAAAACACAGTTTTCACGTCTGTTACTTATACCAAATAAAGTCATAAAATATATAATACCATACGATGTCTGGGGAACTCAATAATTTAACATGTTTATTTCTAAGCCATACTATTTCATGTACCATACTTCAAACACAACCTTCATCAAACAGTATACATAACCCTCACACTGAAACTAGGATTATTCATTTCAGAATGGTCTAATGCACACTAAAGATTGATTCAAAATCTATGAGAACAATGTAAGGAAAAATATACTGGCGTTATGTTACTCTATCAAACTGTTCTAGAATTAAAAAAAAGCACTTTAAAGCTTTTAAGCTTTAGAAAGCAGATTTTAAAGGAGTCAACACTGCTAAGGCAGTAGAACTTTAAGCCTTGTCAGTTGCCATGTGAAAAATTTTAAGCAATTAAAAAAAATGTATGTTTCTTGACATTTTTAGATGGTTTTAAAACATGTAAAACAATGTTTTCAAACTAAGTTTTAAGCAATTATTTCAAAAGATACACACAAAGTTTATGGAAATAGTATATGGGTCAGAATAGTCATCTGATTTGTCCTTTGCAGTGAGAGTTACTGACAGGAAGTGGAAGCAGAAAATATTTTAGAGCGATTGTTACAATGAATGAATTGCAAAAACAGCTGCCTAAATGTTCGATTTATGGGGATGTTAAGACTCTGATTCCAGTCGGAATCTGACAGGATGTTAAGAATAAAATTAAAACGTGAAAGTGGACATTCTAGACTTTAAAGAATTCCTATGTGGCACTTACATTTTTTGAAGTGGCATAGTAGGTTCTAATAGTAGAATATACAGTCCAGATAGCAATGGCAAACGTCAGCAATACCTGTGCCTAGTTTTCAATTTAAAAATGCCAATGCGGGCCTTGAACCCACGACCCTGAGATCAAGACCTGACCTAGATCAAGAGTCGGATGACCAACCGACTGAGCCACCCAGGCACCCCTCGATTTAAAAAATTTAATTGACTGAGATGGCTGGAGAGTATTTAAAGAGTAGCATTATATTTTTAGTTTTCATTTTTACCTATTTTCCTTTGATTTTTGTGACTTTCACAATTACAATTCTATGAAGCTGAGACTGTCAGTGCAGTATTTACCTTTATCCCCGGAAGTCCAGGAAGCCCAGGAAGCCCTGGTTCACCCTACACAGGAAAATCACATAGCATTATAGAACAATAGTCACTCAGTCATAGTATCTGGAGAAAAACATGGCAAATGTTCCTAACTGAATACTTGCTATATATATATATGTATATACATATATATATATATATACACATATACATATATATATATATATACACACATATATAAATACTGTCTAGTTTTAAGAACTTTGGTGAGATTATACAATTCAGTCAACTCTTGATTCAGGGATTGGTTGACCATTTTGCAGATTTTTCAGGGTTTTCTCTCTTCCTGCCATCTCACTGCTCATTAGCAATTCGACCAGAAGGCAAGCAAGAGAAGGAAAAGGAAAAGGAACTCCTACTTTTTATTATTCCCTGGTAAGTGATTTCTTGCGGAAGCTGAAGCTCTTTGCTGAAAAGAGGATTATGTATGCATTTGAATAATGCATCCTATTCCCGGGCTGTCTTACCTCAGATAATCAAGAGTTGGCTGTGTGAACAGATGGTCACATCAAAACAATATACATTAAAAGTCTTGCTCACTTAAAAGTATAGTAAGATTTCTTTTCCATTCCTGAATGATGAGAAGATAAATGCATGGTTAAGATTATACTTAACTCCAGCCTGTATTTCTGACAATTGTTGAGTCTGGGTAACCCTGCTTAGCAATTTAGGGCTAATGGTACCATGCATGCAGCTGTTCCTGAATACAGGTTTGAGATTAAGTGGTACATTTTGTGTGAGCACACTGGAGTCAAGCTAAATCTCATTTTCACAGAATTGTCTACATTATTTTAAGTACAAAGTATAGTGACAAGAGGTTACATTGCTTAGAAAATCTCCTGAATTCCACTAAAGGAGCATAAAGGAATCACCGGGGAAAATGAAAGTCCATCCTATATTGGACTGAGGTGACTATTATTTGTGGAAACAACATTTGAGGGTCAAAGGCACACACTGTTTCAAAATGGTCAGTCAGTGGGACAGACAACTACACTAAAAGAGACTAGGGCATTAAACTAAATAAAAGTAAAGGGAGACACTTCTTTTCATCTAAATGCTTTAATAATCCTCATTCCAAGGAAAACCTACAATCAGATATCTTGTCTTTAACAGTATTACTTTCATATCATGGAGAGCCATAATTTGTTCTGCTTTATCAAAAAATGACTCCAGAGACTGTTTGTTAAGCCGTATGGTTAGACATAAAGGGAACAATGACTTTCCTGATGGTTTAGGTCACAGGTACTTCAGGAATGCAAAAGAAAAGCAACGCTGTTTGAAACTATATAACTCAAATTTTGTACAGTGAACAGTAAGACTAAGATGAGGTTAGTTATACCAGAGAAGAAAGAATGATCATTAAGAATTTGAGATTGCATTCAAAGAATACTTGTCCAAGTGGATTAAACTTCCCAAAGACACATTATACATGATACATTTGATTTTCTTTTTTCTTTCCCCTTTGCCCTTCGTTTGATAACTTTAAGAAGATCCAGTAGAAGGGCTGCATCCATATTTTACTGAAGATTCTCCTTTACTTAAAAGTAATGATAATACCAGAGCAAATTATGGCTCTTCACGATATGAAAGTAATACTATTAAGGACAAAAGAAAAGTACAAGGCCTTCGAATATACAGTAAACTGCAGTAGAATATACAACCAATAAAAGTAAACCTATTGGTGACAAATCTATAGTTTTGTATTGTTTTCGGAAAGGCCCCTGAAACTCAGGGCATCCTGAGTTTGAAACGTGTGAAAATACAGCGGTCGTAACACTGTTTCCCTGCAGAAGTTCTCACCATACACTTCCCTCTCACCATATTAAAAGGATTGTATGACTATTTTAAAAAAGATATTTATATACACATGCATACACAGACACACACGCCCATGTTTCCTGAAAATGAGAAAATGAGAAATATGTATGAAACATTATGGGATATTTTACAATGTAGGTTGAATACTTACAGAGACTTTAGCATTTAGCTGTTCCTTATATTACATGTGTATGTATGTAGGTATGTATTTATATTACCTTATTAAATGGACTTTTTAAAGGAAAAATATTTCAGAAAGGATTTGAACTTCCCAAATTTATGTTTACTTAATGTAGTAGTCAATGCAATGAAAGATTATAAAATATTTAATGTTACCCTTTGTGGAACATCTCAACATTCTTAGGAAGACTTTTCGTCCTATATAAATTCCCTGTATTTATACCATGAAGGCTTGTCTTCCAGTGAGACACAGTTTTTGTTGACTTCTCCACTCTTGCTTATTTCTTGGCCCAGGAGCTTCTCTGGGTTGAGTCCTTGGGCATGAATGGCCCAAGGTCAGATCTGGGTCATAATTAAGAATGGGTTTGTTCTTCCATTCAAAGAATACTTGTCCAAGTAGATTAAACTTTACACATTATACTTCTCCTTTCCCTTTGACTCTTTACCCTCCATTAAAGGAGACCCTTGTCTGCTGTCAAAGTTGGGATTCTGCTTTTGCCCCCACTACTTTTAGATATACTTCGACTGGCAGGATCCCTTCCAGAGTGGGATCAAGTATTTTTATCCCTTGAAAATTAAAAAATATATTTTAAAAAGATGCAGAGAAGTTAGAAAGAACTATGTGATGAAACATAATATCTATTTTTATAAATCTACACATTCAGTTTACAAACATAAATACAGACTCTAACTCATGTACCAATCATACACTTTACTGTTGAATCTATCAAAGAAAAAAAAAAAACGATGATGAAATCATTCTACATTATTGGACAACACCAGACAGTGGAAAGCTCATCAATGGGCTTTTCATTCTGTCACGATACTCTACATTTCTGGAATATCCCTCACGCAGGAGTTTAAGTTTAGAATCCACAACACAGTTCTTCAATGATGAGGAAAATGCCATGGAAGATCTCTTGAATTGATTCTGTACTCAGTTCTGCTTGTCATTTTCTAATCTTAAGTAAGCGGCAAGCATGGGAATACTCTACTTTTAAAGCAATGCTGGGGTAAGTATTGCCAAATCCTGATATTAGACAAAGGAAGTCATAAATATCGTGGGCAAGTGAGATTGCGTCAAAGGATAGAATCTGGCCTAAATATTGACGAAAAAGATGCTGTTCGTTTCAGGGCACGTACTCATTCAGATAGGTTGTGAGCTTTTAATGAATCCACCCCTTCTCTCCATATAATTTAAAGCAGATTTTTAATGAAATACAAAGGAAATCCAGTGTTTCCATATGTAAACCTATAAACTTCCAGGAATGAATCTAAACTGTATTTCTAAATAATCATGATAAGGCAATATTTTATTAAGCAATTGAAAATCATTTTGGATCTTCCACTCTGAAAAGTGGAACCTATGCAAAATTATAGCAGATTTGTTTTGTTTTGTTTTGTTAAAAGGGCATAATCGTCCTGCATACATTTCTTTTAGTATATCACATATTTGGAGAGCAGTTTAAATTTAGCCTTTAATTTTTAAAGATGAAGGGGCCTAAAATTAGATCATCTGAGAAGATTATTTGCTTTTTCAAGCCAAAGCAGACCATGGATCTCTGATGATACCGTTGATTTCAAATTTCTTACATAAAGAATCAGTAGGAAATCTTAGGAATTAAATAGCAAAATTTGTGGAATTCTGCTGGGCTCTTTGGAAAAGTCTGAACTTTACCTGAAACTGGGCATGATGAATCATTACTCTTACAGCCTGAGTTTCAAAAGAAAACTCTATTTTTAAATTAAAGGAATTTTAAAAGAACATGAAAGACCTGCTCAAAAATTACTTTAATCCTAAGTGTTTAAAACAAAGCAATCATCCTCCCCGTGACTTCAAGAGTGTGGGAACATTATTTTTACCAGGTCTTAGGATTCCAAACTCCTATAATGAGATTTATTCTTTCTTTTCCTTTACACTAATGAGGTAAATTCTATGTCTCTAATCATATTTTTTCCTACAACATCAGCTATTGCTAGATAAAGGGAGAGTCATGATCTTAAGAGATTTAACCTAATGTGGAATTCACATTTACTCGTTAGCTCCAACACATCTGTCACCTAAAATCTGACAGCACTGGGCACTGATATCCAGATGCTCAGACAATAAACTGCTAACACTTGTTTCCTGCCTCAGACTCAATGAGAATACGAATCTAAACATTATCACTGCATATCCTCTAATTTATCACTGAAGTGAAGTACAAATGATTAAAAGAAATCCATTTATGTATTCACAGATTGGTTAAAGTGCTTGGCTAGTGTCTCCAATTAAAACTTTGTTTATTAACAACTCTGGTTTGTATAACATAACATTCACTGCATAGGTAGATACAATTCACACAAAAAAATTATCAGTAGGGAAGTATTTGAAATGAAAGGAAAAGGAATATAGGAAGCTATCATTCCCAATTGAAACAGTTTAGTAAATATTCATTTCTCCTCATGAATGATAGAAACATGCAGAGTAACTTTAAACATGCAAGATAAGTTGTTGGCATTCCAACCTGACTGATCTTTGTTAGCCTCAGACAGCTGAGTATATGCAGACCTTAGTTTATAAAGCGTCTTTTTTACATGTACAGGGCATTTTCTATTTTGCTATGGTCAGCATCAACCCTTTTAAAATGCAAAACAATCAATAACACTCTGCATGCAAAGCATGAAAACTACATCATTTTCCAATAATTGTTTTCATATCACACAGTGGATAGTAGGTATAAAATGGCAAATATGAGGCAGTACAAAAAACACACTAGAAGACAGGTATTACCTTTTGCCCTGGACGACCAGATTCTCCAGGTTCCCCCTGGCCAAAAGAAAACCAAAGATGATAAAAACAATCTTACAAGAGTTTTCCAAAACCTTTAGGCCTCTGGACACTTTCACAGAGATGGCCTAACCTTCTTGATCACATGCATTTCATTCACTTTATTCTATTACTCTATATCTCACCAGAGACAGGAATTTTTTTTTTTGCTGTGAACATACCTAAAGCTCACATAACAAATCCCCATTTCCATAAAATCCAACTGCAGAGAGAAGTGAAGGCAAGACCTCTTATTTAAGCCTTTATCAGATTTCCAGCAGATACTCCCTGTTGAGTTTGGGAGCTGATTATTGCAGAAGAATAAAAACAGTTATAACCATCAAAACTGGTACAAAAGAAGAGAAAACAGAGGTTTATAAAATTCAAAACTGTAACTCCTGGGGTACAAACACTACAAGGTTATAGTTACCTTAATTCCTGCAGCAGATGACCCAGGGTCACCCTAAAACAAAACCCATGAGAGATTAGTGCACAAGTTATGAGAATAGGAAACACAGAAGCACACAGAGAGCCATTATCAACATGGCACTCAAAGGAGCCCCATGACTAACAGGCCTGACTATGCTCCCTAAGACCACACCAACATGGCATCTGTTAAGATGTCAACAATTTCCAAGCCAGCGGGAAGCCAGCTTCTCTCTCTCCCACTCCCCTTGCTTGTGTTCCTTCTCTCGCTATATCTCTCTCTGTCAAATAAATAAATAAAATCTTTAAAAAAAATAAAAAATAAAAACAAATAAAAACATGGGTTTCTTTTGAATGCAAAATACTTAAGGGCTATATTCCTTGAGGTCAATAGAAACATATAAATATGTATCTCTTCCCTTGATACAGTGCTAAAAGTGTATTCTAAAGTAATAAATTATAATTTTGAGATCTGGAATTTTGGTTTTCTCTATTCCTGGAATGTATGCATGTCACGGGCTCTCAGTTACTGGGAGTTCCTTGACCCTCTCCGTCTTCAGAAAGTCAGGGTTCAACAGATGAAGTCAAAGGGTTAATGATGTCGAGCTGGAAAAAGCCACGTAGCAGGTCGGTTTGTTTAACTCATGAAGCACTGTCACAGTTACGACCAGCACATTTTCTCTAGCTTTACACTTATTTCTTTGTGACCCAGTCACCGGAAAATTACAGGATGATGGATGACTCCTGGGTGGCAGGGACATATGTAAGACCTGAGAGAAAATCTTGAGGTAGAATCTGCTTTCCTAAAAGGTACTGTACTCCATCAGGACACCACAGAGGGTGACTATATTCCCAAAGCAAATATGCTTATAAAATCAGCAGAGAGGGATTCGTGGAAAAGAATATGGAGGTTAGTTAAGAATGTTGCTTCTTTCTTTTTTTACCCATGAGAGACTATGGACTCTGAGAAACAAACTGAGGGTTCTAGAGGGGAGGGGGGTGGGGGGATGGGTTAGTCTGGTGATGGGTATTAAAGAGGGCACATTCTGCGTGGAGCACTGGGTGTTATGTACAAACAATGAATCATGGAACACTACATCAAAAACTAATGATGTAATGTATGGTGATTGACATAACATAATAAAAAATAATGATAATAAAAATAAATTCAATTAGCCACCATATAGTACATTATTAGTTTCTGATGTAATGTTCAATGATTCATTAGTTGCATATAACACCCAGTGCTCATTACATCACGTACCCTCCTTAATGCCCATCTATTTCTAAAATGAGGCCAACAAAACTGCCTTGGTTTTCAAACTCCTTCTAACCCCCTGTCCCATGAACATGCTACAAGCAAAAAAAAAAAGGGAGAAAACTTGGCCGTTTGAGACTGTTGAGAAAATAGGAACTGCCACAGGAGGAAGGTACATACTGCAATTTCTTCAGCTGTCATATCCATGCAAGTGTTCAAGGAGCTCCAGGGATCTGGTTCCTTGTTCTGGATTTGGGAAGCTGCTCATTACTCTCTTTTAGAGACACAGATGAAGCCTCAGGCCTCTGTCCATGGAGCACTGGTCCCCCTCGCTCAATTCTTCCCACCTCTTCTCCAGGCTGGCACCTTCTCTTTCTTGAGGTCTCAGCTTACGTGGCTTTGCCTCAAAGAACCCTTCACCAACCAACTTCAGACACATGCCCCTCACATACAATATCCTACCGCACAGCACTGAGCTCTGTTCATGTCCTGCATAGCTCACTTCATAATTATGTATTTATATTTTCTGCCCATTCATTGTCTGTCCCTTCATCAGACAATCAGCCACATGGGGGCATATTCAGCGTCTATTTTTATTCAGCGCTTAGCCCATAGGTGATGCTCGATACCTATATGGCAAATGAATGAACAAATCTCAAAAAGAATGTTTTAAACAAGTCAGCAGTCAAGGATCAAAATGAAAAAAAAATTTAGGAGGGAAAAGCTTAGGAAAGAGAAGGAAATCATAAATCAACTTACTGAAGAGACTGATACATATGTGAGCTTCTTTGATGTCTATAATTGTTATTACCCAAGGAAAAATTAAAACATGACAAAACATAAGGGCCCTGAATACTGTCTTATACTGACTTCTCTTTCTGATCATTAACATTCCACTGAGTTCCTAATGGGGAGTGAAATAGATGGGGCTAATAAAATAATACTTATTTCTACTAAATCAAATCTGAAAGCTATCAACACCAATGAATCAGGTTTGCAATATTTTGCACAATAAGACCTTTGTGTTCCTAAAAGCAATTTTGACTTTGCTAACTCCCTTCTCTCATCTCATTTATACCCCATAAAACTCTGATGAGATAGGGCAGATATTACCATTTTCGTGGAATAGAGAAGGACACTGAAGGAACTAGAGGACAAGTGCATTTTGGACTTCCTAAGTTCCATAGCCATGTTCTTTTTATTAGAATGAGAATTATTGGTTTATCTCATTTGGACAACAGGGCTTAAAAGTTGCAGTCAACTTGTAAATAAAAGGAAGTCACTTGTGTTAACTGCAGTTTAAAACCTTTTATTTTTAGTGTCCTAATGGAAAGTGGCTGGATAATCCACCGATGAGACTAAGGACTAGATTTAGTTCTCATAGAAAGTGGATGGAGAGAAAAAGTTTCCTGAAAGGCTGATTTATTTGGGGAAATTGGAGCAGTTTCATTTGAGGGGACTGTCAGTGATATTTTAATTCTCTTTTTAAAAACTTAGACTGTGAAATCTCGAGGAATTTTTATAACTTTTAAGTGGCAAGACAACTGCTGAAAGACAGTCATAAGTGAAACATTTTAAAGGATAGTCCTGCAAGTAGTGGAAATAAAACAGTCAGTGCTTATAATCCTCATTCCTCCAAAAGTGAAAGTGAATACAGGATTAAAGTCAGAAAAACCCAACTATGTCTTAAGTACACTCTTTGCTTCCTAAGTTGGCTGGTCTAGAAACACGTTTCCACAGGGCGAGTCACAAATGGGAAAATCCTTTGAGAAGACACTCTAGATAAATAAATTTGACTTTTGATCATTCAAACACAGAGAGTTTCTGTTTTTGGTGTGATTATTTTCAAACACAATAGTATATAATGTTATGTATGTATTAATAAAGTCTAGGTGGATAAATGAAGTGAATGTGGTGACATTTTTATCATTCATTAATTCATTCGATAAGTGTTTGTTGAGCACTGATTATGAGCCAGCTGTGTTCTGTTTGCAGGGATGCGGGGAGGTGGGTGAGAACAGGGAGCGATGCAGTTACAGTCCCCACACTTGGCCTGTGCTCATGATAGTCACATACTAATATACACAAACAAAAATGTTATTGATTGAAAGCATGAAAAATACTTTCTTTTTCTTCCTTTCTTTCCATTTTTTTAAAGAAAAATTAAAAAAAATAGGAAGAGATTCTCATGTTTGGCAAATACTGTTATTTCTGTATATAGCAGAAGACATGATAAACAAATGCATGTCACAGGAAAAAGTTCTACCATTCCATGAAAATAAAAAGCAGTTGAAAGGAAAACAAACTTTTTATTCAATAAATATTTATTATCTTACAAGTATGTGCCAGGGACTTGGATTGGTGCTGGGAATAGTTTGGCATCATATAGGTTTTTTGTTTATTTATGTGTTTTTTTCTTTCCCAATGAGCTGGATGGATGTCCAGTTAAACAAGGAATGACAGTAAACCCTGATAACAGTTAAGAAAGGGATTTTAAAGAGTGTTGTGGGAGCATAGAGTAGGTAACCTAACCAATCTGGAGGAGACTGAAAGGCTGCCCCAGGGAAATGACTTACAAATTACGGTCTCAGGGGACTGAAGAATAGATGGTGGAGGTGGTAAGAGTGTTCTAAGCTGAGGCAACCACGTGTGCCGAGTTAGAGAGGGCCCCGCACTGACTGGGGTGGGGGAGTGTGGGGGCCCACGGAGATAGACCTTCACATGTGATTTTAAGAAGAGATAATTTGATGGTAGCTCCAAATATGGATGCGGCTTCTGAAAGGGCTCAGAGGATGCAAATCAAAGATGCTATGTAGGCATAAATCAAGAAGGCAGTGTGTTTCCGGGAATGGAGACTGAGGGACCAGAGAAAGTGAAGGCAACTGTCAGGTCGTCCCAAGACCGGAAAGGTGGAGCTTCCGAATCAGCAGACTGAATTGTGAATAACAGATTGGCATGATCAAACCATTCAGCTTGCCGCTGAAACACCTACTTTCAAGTTGCTTGAAAGAGATAACAAATCCATTTCTACATTTGTTGGTGGGATTAATGCTCCAAAGAGCAGAACATGACCTTTGCGTAGTAACTCCACACATGATTGAAATCGTTCTTTGGTGTGTTACTCTCAAGCCTGGAGTGCACTGCAGTTGCTGGCCAGGGACAAAACCCAGCCTCGTGGTTTTTACAGTTCCACAGCATTTCCAGATGACCAGTCTGGAAAGGTTTAGATTGCTTTACCATCCAAAGGCACAGAGTTGGATCAAAAGGAAAAAAATCCTATTAAAGTGAATCAGTCAATGACGTAATTTACTACTTCAATGGCAGAAAAAAAAAGCATTTTTTGATTTTACATCTCAAACTTGGTTAATGATGAATGAGTTTCACATACTGAACCCAAAGGCCGTGAGAAGAGTGTTTCCAACATACTGGAAACAAATTATATGACAGAAGCAGGAAATGTTTTAAAAAACACATCAAAAATTATATTCCAATTATAGCATTCTCGGGATGAATACTACAGGTCAGATTACATATTATACATTACAGATTCTTATTTACAATCCCCTTTTAAACCCACTGAAAGTTTATAGAAATGATTTCCGTTTTAACTGAAGCATTTCTTGTACTTAATTTCAGTTGACTAATAAAATTTTTGATAAAAAAGAAAACAGCCCATCTAGTTGATTTCAATTTCCATGTGGTAAGAAAGCTAACATTTATTGAGAGTTTACTCTATGTGAGTCAGTATGGTAAATGATTTGATTTAATATAAGATCTTTTCAAAGAAAAAAAGTTGCTTTACTACTGGAAAATTGAAATTTAAAAATGTGTGATTAAAGAAATGATTATTGGCCTACATTCCAAAAATGAAGCTTTAAAAATACATCTTCTAAAGCATAAAATTCTCTACAGAAATCCACATAGGTGTAGTTCAGACTTGGCATAGGCTTTTTTCACTTGAAAAAAACGCCCTCTGTTTAGAAGATTTCCTTTCTTTAAGCAGAGACTAGCAGCTAAGGCCCGTGGGCCAACTCCAGCTAGCACCTGCTTTTGTGTGGCCCATGTGCTAGGAATGGTTTTTACATTTTTACATGGCTAAAAAAAAAAAAAAAAAAATCAAAGAACAGTAATATTTCATGGCATGTGAAAATTTCATGAAATTAAAATTTCAGTGCCCAGAAATCAAGTTTTATTGGAACACAGCCATACTCATTTCTGTACATACTGTTTATGGTTGCTGTCACACTGTAAGAACAGAGTTGAGTAGTGGTGACAGAGACCACAAGGCCCAGAAAACCCAAGATACTTATTTTCTGGCCCCTAATAGGAAGTTTGCTGACCTCTGGTTTTAAGTATAAACAAGAAAGTTAAATATAACATCCAAGTTTATATATCTGGGGTTTGAAATTCTGACTTCAAGAGTGATCAAAGTATACCATTGGTCTTATTAAGTATTAAGCATATGTATGTCATATTTGATTGTAGCATGATAATTAAATTTGACAGGTATATAAAATGGGTCTACAGCAATGGTTCTCAACTAGAAGTGATTTTGTGTCCCAGGGGCCATTTGGCAATGTCTAGAGATAGGTTTGGTTGTCACAACTATTGGAATCTAGTGGCTGCTGGCCAGGAATGATGTTAAACATCCAACAGCCCCCACAACAAAGAATTATCTGGCCCAATATGTCAATAATGTTGAGGGTGAGAAACCTCAGTCCACAAGAGATTGAGGGTCCACTCTAATTTCTGGACTGCTCTTCGAATACAAACATAACTGCAACTTGGTGATATTAATTAATTCCTACCATCCATGCCATATTTATATTAATCTTTATAAGAATGAGAAAGATAAAATTCTCTTTATTTTATGGGGATGCTTTTATGACTAACCATTATCCATCTGTACTGTAATAATTTTCAAAGTGAAATATTTTTATCCTCAACTCTAAGCTTAAATGAATAAATCTTTTTTTATCACTCAATTACCTAGCTTGATTTTCATGAAAATCTATTCTATTTTCAGTTTCTTAAAAGATCTTTTTCTTAATCCTTTACAGTACAAGTGAAATGAAATACCCTTCTTATGCTAGAGATATCTGTGAAGTATGAAGCCAAAGCAGAAGCTATAATGATAGACAGGGAGGGGGGTGATGAGAAGAGGTAGAAAGATGAGCCACAAGACCACTGTAATATAGATGCTAATAATGATTTAAAAGATTAAAAAAAAAAAAGACAACACAAAGGCTGACAAAATATCTGGATTTAGTAGATTTCAGGTCAAGGCAAATTTTCAAGATTGCATTAGAGGCTCTAATCAAATGACATTTACTTTCAAACTTTTAAATCTCATCCCAATCCTGCGACTTTTTCTCCTCCCAAATTGGAACAAATGGAATCACTTTAGAAACTTTATTTTTGTATCTCTGAGTATCAAGGGAGTGCCCGACTTACACATGAATAAATGGTTTTCTTCCTTCAAGGCCATATTACTGCAAACCTAGCTGCACATTTCTAGAATTTGTGACATACCATTTTACTTTTAAAATATTTAAATTTGGGGGCGCCTGGGTGGCTCAGTCGTTAAGCATCTGCCTTCGGCTCAGGTCATGATCCCAGGGTCTGGGATCGAGCCCCACATTGGGCTCCCTGCTCAGCGGGAAGCCTGCTTCTCCCTCTCCCACTCTCCCAGCTTGTGATCCCTCTCTCTCTATGTCTCTATCTGTCAAATAAATAAATAAAATATTTTTTAAAAAATAAAATATTTAAATTTGTAGCTAGGGGTTTGTGGAACAATCACCTTCATAAGTTAGATATTCAAATGTTCTCTAAAATTGTAGAATTATTTCCCATCTTATCATACTAAGTTACCACCACTCATTTACCTGTCTCAAAATCTTCTGTGTTCACATACATGAAATAATATTTCTTGCTCATATACATACTCTTTTATATTTTACAACACTGTACCTTTTCGCCTGTGTCACCTTTGGGGCCATTCTCTCCAGCTTCTCCCTAAAAGGGGGGGAGGGGAAGAGATATAGTAAAATATATCAGTGACATTACACACAGTAGCTTTCATTATTTTGAGTTTGCTTTCATGTGCACTATATATTAAAATCTGTTGCAAATGTTCTACAGAGCTAATGTATTTTTACTTGAACAGCTGCCTGATATCAAGTGGTCCAAATAAAATTTATTACAATGAACAAAGCTGAACAGTTTTAAACTATTCTATGATAGCAACAGAAAGCAGTACTCTCTGGGACTTCTACTAGCTCATTCCGGCACGTAAAGCCTCCTTAACGATATCTCTTTTCTCCTCAGGAAAGCCTTTTTCCTGACCATTCCCTCAATGTGCCACATGCCTTAGCACCAGCGTGTCCTTCCTTCCTGCCATTCCTGCCACCTGCGCGCCCCCCCGGCCCGTGTAAATCCTACTCTGTCTTCAAGTTCAGCTCAAATCAAATCTCCAGGGCTTCAAAGTACATGACACAGCCCCCAAAACTGTGGGCGGAAGATTAATTTGTCTGCACCTATGTGCTTTGCATTTATGAAATGAACTTTGTATTTTATTTGAACACTCTTTTTTAATTATAGTCAAAGAAATTGGAGAGTTTATGCTTTCTGGGTTATTTTTGAGATTTCCTGTGCTTATTCCCTCACTGACATCTCCTTTCTACCACAAAGCAACGCGTTAGGAAAAAAAAAGTCATTCACTCATTATCCATGCTTTGATTCCTTCAAAGCTGAATTCTTTCATTTAAGTCTTACAGCATGTTATAGGGGAAACATCATGGACTTTGGCGCCAGAGAGACTGAGCCCAGCTCCAGCACCTACTGGGCAAATGAAATCCTCCCTACATCACGTTTCACATGTGTAACAGAAGGGCAAGAATGCTTTATGGGGTTATAAGAAATAAACAATATGCTGTGTGTAAAGCAACTAGGCCAGTATCCGATGCAGCATAAGCTGTTAATGACAGCCGTTAGCGGTAACAATGCATTATTGTTCATATATTCCATAAGCTGGAACACCCTTCTGTTTAGCTTCATAAGAGGTCACTTTTGCATCATTTAAAAATTTCCTTTAAATAAGAGATAAAGTACTGATGATGGTTTCCCTGGAAGAGGGAAGAGATGTAGGGGAGAGAGACTTACTTTTTTCTCTCCATTTTCTTTTCGTGTTTCACATACGTATGAAGCTAACCTGCTCAGGTGTTTGTCTATGGTGACCGACACACCACAGAGCCCGGGAGCCTGAGCGGCTCTATCTGATGAATCCCTGGAATGGTGCTGGCACTGGTCCTTTCCCCTCCTTAATTTCTACACAAAAGAGTGATCTGATGACTAATTAATTTCAGGTTAATTACACGGAACTGGCTGGACACCACATAAATGTACTGATAATCTCTTATGAGGAACCTTTGACAGGCAGCCTATTAGCATACTTTTCAAAAGATTGCTCGGAAATCCCTTTATTAAAAAACAAAACAGACACAACAAACTTTCTTATTAGGAAGACTGGCTCAGAGTGGTCACGAAATGAAGGGTTTGACCGAGCTATCCCCTCTGCTTTGCTCTCCCTCCATTTAAATAAATGCCTTTTTAATTTTTGCTTCACAGTGCCGAAAAACAGTTACATTCAAGAAGTGTGCGGGGTCTTTAGATGTACTTCTTTTAGGATTAGAGGTGATGATATTAATTTATCAGAACGATCACATCACTTCTGAAGAGCATGATGTAGTGTCTTGGTAGCTTCCTACACAGGCAGCACATTTCTCAAGCATTATTAAAGTAAATAGCATGAGAACCAGGAAAATTAGCACCACGATATGCACTGAGAGTCTAAAAATAATCAGGACGCCCCAAAAGCAGTGAGGAAGGATGTCTGTGAGAAATTTAACATGTGGCACTCTCCTCCTCCTTTTGTTTCTCTTTTTGCTTTTTTTATAGGAATTCTTTGTGGGGCAATTTCCAATGTATTTGTTGCAGGTAAACATCTGTATTCCTTTGACTTCATGACCTAAGAAGCAGTAGGGAGAGATATGGATGCTTAGAAAAGCACTGGGGTGGCAATAGCAAGTAGGCAAAAACAGAAGTTTTGCAGGCCTAGGGATTTTTGAAAACCACTTAGGAGCTGGACATAGAATGTTCAAATTTCTCCCTTTCCCTCCATTTCTTTAAACCTTTTTACCCAAACCTCTGTCCATACATAAGAATTACATTATTCTCTCCTTCTACTAATTAACAGTTTGACACGAACAGTGGTTGTTAGATCTATCTTTATCTATGGATCTATATCTATCGCTATGTAGTCATCCATACTTCTATATAGTTTGGTTTGATATCTCTTTAGGGAAAAAAAAAAAGATAATTACAGGCAGAATCATTCTTACCTTTTCGCCTTGATCTCCAGGTTCTCCCTGAGCAAAAGAACAAAGATTGAGTGACACATTAAATAATAAAACACCCAATTAAACACCACCTACCAAAATCAGATATTGAACATACTAAGTCATTTATATGCAACACTTTCTATTTTGGCAACATAGAATTGCTATATTGAAAACAAATGGTAAGATGAGTTTCCTGAAGAATTGGGCATGGATATCAATATCAAATGTAATCTTAATTCTTTGCTTTTAAAGGACTAAAGAAAGGTATTTAAAATTATCATCCAGAATCCAGCTTTGGGGGCATTAAGAACAATGTGCTACCAATTCAATGTCTTCAGCAGCTTCTTAGTTTTCAAGTTTTTGTTCCCTTCAGAATCAGTAAGGTGGGCTAGCACATCCTTTCATGGTCTTTTACTCAAAGCAGCTCCCAGTGTATAGATTATTTCAGGGCTCTGGAGTCTGTGTAGTTCTCCCATCTGTCTTCTTCAAACATGATCATAAACATGGTCCTGAACTTGGACCCCTTCAGAGTGTCATGAATTCTCTCTAACCTGCTGGTAACCAGCATGTTCCAAATCAGGTATATTTTAGGCTGCAGTGGTACCTTCAGGAAAGAGACTAGAATGGGGCAGAGTCAAAGCGAGTTTAGGAGAATGTCTTCATTCAAAATGATGACCTGGACAGTATGAGGACTAAAATGCCAAACTGTGCTTTGAAGAGAATCCTTATTTTCACTTTACCCAGGAAGGCATAGGTGATAGAGTGGAAGAATTCTAAAGTAAATCATACATATTATGATAATATTCCTCTTATGAAAAGCATCAGTAAGTGTTGCCATGAGATCAGGCTGCTTAAAAAAAATTGGCTTAAGATGATTATTGTGTTTTTTAAAATTAAAAACCCCTCAAAGTCAGTTTGGAGGCAAGACTCTTTTCATTTGCTGGGACTCAGTCTGACCCTTTGGCTTTCTGAATTTCTGGCCACCCTTCAGTGCTCAACATCCATCCTGATGGTTGCTAGGCAACAGAAGAATAGACCTGAGAACATGCATTAAGCATTAACTCTTATCATTTGGCTGTTTAGCATGGAGCAAGAGAGGGGAAAAGACAGGAGAATGGCTGTAGTCCCAGAAGGAATATTTCCTTTCTTCTCCTGCAGGACAAAGGGCAGGTCTATAAATTTTAGGTCTGTCCTAGGCGCCTGTCAATAGCAATGTGATCTGTAAAATCAGCTGACAGGCATCTGTGGGTACAGATACACACCCGCACAGCTGACGGGATTAGACATTAGTTATGTACTTCAAGGGATGTTCACTCATCAAAGGATTTGGGATTTGTCTGCCTGTTTGGTTTAAACTAAACTGTCACCAATCTTTTTATATTTAACAGATTCATTTGTCCTTCAAAAAAACAAAGAAAATTTGCAACCCCCCAAAAATCCTCATTACATGTTCTCCCTATGTAGTAATTCAGACTATATCCATTTTTAAATTTTAGACATGCCATATCAGCCGGTAAAGCGTACCACTCTTCATCTAGGGGTTGTGAATTGGGTGTAGAGATTACTTTAAAAAAGTAAACATCTTAAAAAAACAAAGCAAAACATGCCACATCTTTATTCTGCTCTTCATTTGATTAACTGGTTATATGTGTAAGTGCTGGAGGTGACAAAATATTGAAGAAAGGCCACAGTGGCACTATGAAAATCATCTTTAATAAGTCTTATAAATATTATGCACATTTGAGGCAGTATGGACATGGCCTACATTTTAATACACTCATTAAGTGGCAAAATGACAAGAGTCATATTTGAAATATGGGCTTTTTCTCATGTTATCAAAGTATCCCAGAATAAAGATTTTGACAATTGTTATCTTATTTGTTTTTCTGCATTTTTAATGCTAACGAGAATCTTAAACAATTTAGTCATTAGTCACAAACTTCTATACTGCAGCATATTATACTACTGACAAATATTCCATCCAAGTAAAACCAGTGGGATATAAAAAACTGTTACAGCTTACAATTACATGAAAACTCATATCTCAAATGATTCTGCTTGGTTTCATTTGTACTAACCTTTGGCCCTGGTATTCCATTTTGTCCTACTGTTCCAGGCAACCCGGGCTCACCCTCATGAAAAAAATAGATACTATTAAACAAAATACACAAAATCCATACATTATATAGATCATTAGAGGATAGCTATCCAATAATGCTCTAGAAGTAGAAAAATAAGTGCCTACTAGGGTAAATACAAACTAGCTCATTTGGTCCAAAATCCTATGTGCTGGGGCCAAGGATAAAACAGGGTTAATTTCCTTTGTTCAGTCTTTTCTCCATTAAGAAAGCTGAAGCAACTTACCGACGGAAATGAATATCTAGCATGGTGCTGGGTACCTTGTAGGCAATAAATAAATATTTGTGGAATGAATTAAAGACATCTGAAAACATAAGCTCTCTTGATGGAGAACTTTGAAGTGGTTCATTAGCTCAGGAAAATAAAGACTAAATCATTATATTTATGAGACTTAATCAAATGAGTGTTTCCAAACCTAAAGCTTAAAGAACACACACATCTTTGAACACCAACAAAATCAGACACATTTGACATAAAAGTCAAAAGTAAAAATGGCTTTGGTTTCTCTTCTCAACTTCGCTGTAAAAAATAATTAGAATGAAACATTCAGAACCGTGGCTCTCATTGTCCTATTGAGTGGTAGGCATTCCGGAGAAAGATGATGGTTACTGGGTCAGACAAGTTTCCCACCTCAGCAAGAAGAGGTTGTATAGCAGTTTTCCTAGGCTCTGAACCAGCAATTGTTTTCCAAAGAGAAGTCATGAAGTGCCCAACAGCAAGGGTAAGATACGTAAGCTCCTGCTGCTTCCATGTAGCTCCAAGTCACATCAACTAGAATCATTTTCATTTAAAAACATTCCCAAAGCCCCTTAGAGTGTGCACCAATGACGGGACAGCTTTCTTCTTTCCAATGAGGGAGTAAAGTTGCTCCTTAGTTGATTAAAAAAAAAAAACAGGCTTTATTTTTAGCGCAGTTTCAGGTTCACAGCAAATTTAGTTGATTTTTAAGCATGTTTTCTAAGTCACCTACAGGGCAGATATTGTGCCATTTCAGTATTTGAGCTCTCAGCTTCGAAAACATGCACATTAATAATAGTACCATTTTTAAGTGCCAGGAACTTTACATTCATCAATTCACTTAATTCTCACAAATTTCTATGAGGTAAGTACCACTTTATCTCTAGTTAAGAGATGAAGGAATTAAGCACAGAGAGGTTAAGCAACTTTTCTAGTTTTACACAACTCTAGCCAAGATTTGAACGCTTATGATCTAGCTTAAGAGGTTGTGCTCATAACAATATGATGCATTCCAGAATGAATGAAAGCATCTAAAAATTGGGAGAGCATACATACGAGTATTTCTATCCTCATTATCTTTTGGCTTATAGTCCTCATTTATAAATGACCCTTCAAGAATGTATGGAAACCTGAATTAAATATAACTTATATAAAGATGATTTATATTCACCTCCCAGATAAACCAAGAATACGAAACTTACATTATCCTTCTAGAAGAGCAAAAAATATTTTACTACTATATTGGACTATTATAATTGCTAAAGTCTTAACTTCCTGGAAGAAATTCTGCTTTGTATATAAAGTTACACTATAATTGTAACTCTTGCACTTTCCTTGGATAAATGGCAAAAGTGCTGACAGAAAAGCAATGACTATTATAGGAAAATTTTGATTGGCCATTTGTACATCACAAAGAGTAAGAACTCAGAAATAGAATATGCCTGGAAAGAGGACTATCATTTACTCTGCAACAGAAGAAGAGCTATCAAATCTGCTTTCTTCAAAGAATCCACAACAGGATGCACTAATATCATAACTCATGGCTTAATGCAAATAAGAGATGCTGCCAGGAAACAATACAAACTTTGTTTAGATTTTCAAAGAATAACCATGGTAGCCAGAATAATAATAAAAAAATGGTTAAGCCCCTGGAACTGAACAAAGTACATGCTGAGATTTTGAAGCGAGGAAGAGAGACGTTGCTTAGGTATCTGGTTAACATCCTCCTTAATATACGAATACCGAGGGACTAAAACTTGATCCTGTTTTAAAATTTTTATATACTGTTAAAATAATCTTTTAACATAATAGGAAACAAAAAATGCACCTATGATTCCATCCCTATAATAACTGTTTTCAGTTTGTCCTGTTTCCTTCTAGTCTTTTTTATTTATGCTTACATATTTTCAAGCAATTGTAAGCTTATTACATAGTATGACATTTTGATTTTTTATTATTTGATACTACAAATTTGTTTTCACATAGTATTCATGATTGTCTTGTGAATAGTTTGATTATCATCTATCAAACTCAGGCATGATCATACGTTTAATCTGTCCCAAACAGTTGAATAGTTGGTTGTTGCCAATCTTTGCTATTAAAGATAAACTAAAACACCCACCTCTGTAAATATTTCTAAATTGCTTTCCAAAAGGATTCAAGTTTTATCTGTTTTGATAGACCCCCACTCTGTGTTACTTTTTCACAACTTCATCAGCATTGGATATCACAATTTTAATTATTTGGGGGCAATTTTAATAAGCACAAATGAGTTTACTCTTGCTCACTTCTACATTTATTACTTGCAAGGTTAAATATTTTTTCATGTGTTTATAATTTCAATAGGTATCTCACAAAATTTTAAAGCTCTTTAAATAAATAAAGCTATTTCCTGAATGAACCAAGGGAAAATAGAAAGAAGGAAAAGTGAGAAAGTGACTCACAGCATTTTACCTTTCTAATAAGTTATATATTCAAACTTAGATTAGGAGGTTCCTATAACTCTGAGTGCCAAGTCCGAGCTACGGGATTCTGGAAGGCATTAATTCATTCAACTAACATTTAGTGAGAATTTTCTACCTGTTCTACTCTGGCCTGAGTGTTTCAATAGGCATGACAGGCACCTGTGCCCAAAGAGCGGACTTTTGAACTAGAAAAAAATGATACATACAAAAATAACTTAAGAGGACATCTAATTGAGGTCACAGAACTTTTTTTTTTGAGCAAAGTTTTCTTGCATTTCATGAAATAAAAAGACATAAGTCAAAAGGAAGTATTGAAAAGAATGAACCATATGTCGTGTAGTGTATTAATATTTTCTGGTGTATGAGCATAAAGTATTAGGAGTCCCCTTCAAATAAAGTTACAATGACATCACTACATAATGTAGTAAAAATATACATATGCAAGAAAGTCAGAAAAGTACAGACAAAAAATGACAATTAGGTTTCCTGGGTGTAGAGAGTTGGTCTCCTTTTTGTTAAGAGAATCTGTCCATCTATTTCTGAATACATTTCACAAGTACTGAAGGATATTCCAAAGATAGTAATAATGAAAAACAGCAGCTAACATCTTAACTACAGGTAGATTGATAAGGTTTTCTCTCTTACAGTTTAAATTCTAAAGCATTCCCTATGTATTACTCACAAATGATGATGTGTGTATTTAAGCTAAAAATAAGTTGGACTGACTTTTAGGAAAGCCGGCTTGCTATTTTCTTTCTTTCTTCCTTCCCTTCTCTCTCTCTCTCCCTCAAACCAAATGCTCTTTAGAACTCTAACGTAAGACATCACTCAAGACTCAATTATTTCAGGTACTGCTAATCAGGGGCAACTTGAAAGAACACTGAAAGATTGGAAGGAATGGAGTTGTCTTATGAGATTGAGTGCTAAAGGGAAATAGGTCATTTGGAGGTAATATCACTCGCCTGAGGGCAATTGTTTTCTGTTCTGGCAATGGGAATTTACAATGGGTTGTAGCTTAAAATTTTTAGCATGATATAATTTTACATTCACTTGTCAAAACCGATTTTGCTTCTTTTAAGTACTGCATTTTCAAAGAGAACTCATTTAAACAGAAGAGGAAAATAACTACAAGGAAAATGGACCAGCTGTGGATGGAAAGAGTGATACTAAGAAGAACATGGCACTGGTCTTTTTTTTTTTTTTCTGCAATTTTCAACTCTTCCTTAGGTTTATTTGTCTTTATTAATTTTTTAATTTGAGTATAATTGACACACAATGTCACATTAGTTTCAGATGGACAGCCTAGTGATTCAACTTCTCTATATGTTATGCTATGTTCACCAGGAGCATAGCTACTATCTGTTACCATACAGCGTTATCATAACATCACTGACTAGATTCTCTGCACTGTGAACATGGCATCAGTCTTTAAGGTTTTCTCCTGCCTCTGGAGCTGGGGGTATTGGTGGTCACTGACACCTATCTGAAACACTGAGTGTGCTTTTTTCATGACAGTGACAGTGCACAGAGGGATCTCAGTGGTTTCAGGGGTGAGCAGGACTGGTTTTTAGTCCCCTTCTGCAGGCAGCCATGGTGAGGCCTGGGTGTCCTTTTATAGGGCTTTGGGGCTTCAGTGGCCTTGGCAGCAATTGGGTAAGTAACACCTGGTAGAGGAAGATTCTTTGAAAACAGCGAGGCACCCAACAGGGACTTCTAGATACAACTGTTTGGGGAAGAGTTAAGAAAATGGGGTTTCTGCTCTCCATTCCTATTTATTCTCTCTAGTTTTCTTTAATTTAATTTTCTACCCTGGTTTCCTAATGGCAAATGAATATGAACACAAAATTGGGTGAAGGTAGGAGGTACAAAATGACGTACATATTTTGAAATTTATAGAGACATATCATTTCATGACACAATAAAATAAAATAAAAATCCTAGCTCCAACCTGTAAGTGTTATTAATGTTTTGGAAAAATCATTTGTCTTTTTGCACACCTCTCACATCCTTCAGCCTTGGCTCAAATGTCCCCTTACTACAGAGGTTGCCTGGATACCCCACCACCACTTTCTATGCCTACTATCTTATTTAATTTTCTCTATTGCACTAATTATCACATAAGGTATACACTTTTTTTGTTTCAAATCTGTCTCCCCTACTAGGGATGCCAGATTTGAGAAACAAAAATACAGGACATCGACTGAAATTTTAATTGCAGATAAACAACACAATTTTTCAGTTACATATATCCCAAATATTGAATGGGACATAGTCATTTTAGAAATTATGGG